CGCGCCGCTACACTTCCGTTGTACTACAAGGTCACCTTGACCGAGGCAGCCGCGTAACCCCAGTGGAAGCGCCCGCGAGTATAGCGGTCCCGTGCGTACCCCGGCGGTGAGAGGTCTACAAACAGCGACTAGGGGCCGGGCGGGTCAGCTGGCGGGCCGGTCGGCGTCGGCTGCTGGCTGCCGCCGGTCGGAGTCGCGTCGCGTCGGACCGGGGGCGACGCTGCACGTGGTACGCTGGTGCATCACTCGCGGACAGAAGGCGGCAGCTCCACCGCGCGTCCCAGACGGAGAGGTTGAAGATACGCGTGTGAAACTGAGCCGCTGGTTCCGGATAGAGACCTCCACACGGGACGCGCGACCGCGTCACCCGTCACACACTGTCACAAAACAGTCACTTCAAACGTCCACAGACTTGAGAATCGACCCCACTCAACAAACGGCTGTCTTCCACCGCTCGAGCCGTTATACCCGCTCGCAGGAGATCACTGTCGAGCTGTGGTGGCCCGCGCCGCGCACACACCTCTGCCCTCGCGCGTCTGCGGCCGCCGCGGCACTGCGGGGTCGGCTCGGTTCGGCTCAGTTCGGCAGTCGGCTGCCAGTCGCTGACTGTCGGCGGTGCCGGTCCGCCCGGGAGGGGAGGGGAGGGGACGGGGAGCGGGGAGGCCCGGCGCGTACAGTCTCCGTCAGCTGGCCGCCGACCCGCCAGCTGGGACTGTTGCGGCGCGTCGCGCGGCGCAGGGGCGCGCCCAGCGGCGCCGGCTCGGGGGGGGGGGGGCGCGCCGGGTCGGGTCGGCCGCGGTAAGATGGCGCCGCCGGGTCAGTCGAACGCACCGGGTCTCGGCCACTGAGGCCGATCGATGCTCGCCACCGTCGAGCGGTCGGGTCGACGGGCCGGCCGGTGCGTGAGCCTGGCGGCGAAATGTCAGCGGAGACCGACCTGGGTGTGCTGGGTCGGTCGCGGGTCACAGACAGACCGGGCCGCGGAGGCGTGCTCCCACGGACCCTCCGTCGGCTCTCCGCGTGGCTGGGCACACATTCTACGACAGAGTCGGTATTCGACACGTCGCTCAGAGCTCGTAGCATCACACCAACGACATGAAATAGACGAGCAACGAACGAGAAATGAGGTATCAAGTAACCACGAGATGACCGTAAGTTTCACGCCGACTGGTAGACGTTACGCTAACCAACTACCTCGCAATTCTGACTAAAAGACCACCGTATCTGGTGATAAACATCCCGGGTCTCCCAGACGGCCGCGCAGATTCCATAGTACGTCGTCAGACCGCACCTCCATCTCAGATTCATCAGCGCTACACGCCTGACCGTGACTCAGCTAACAATGGCCCATTCTGTGCGGCCAACCGACACGTCATCAAAGTCGATACAGCCGCCGGCCGTAGCACTTTAGCGGCAGCCTTCAATTCACGACTCACACAAAACTACGGGGCCGGCCGCTACAGGCTACAGCCACGATCGAATGGCACGCCCAAGGGACAGACCGGACCCCGAAGACCACACACCTGACGGTCTTGATGGATGTGTCTCAGCCCGAGGGTTTATAGCGGAACACACACGCATCTACGCACGTCACGGTCCCAGCATCTACTTTCACTGACAGCGCCAGCAGCCTTGCAAAGGCCGACGATAAGGATAATAGCGACGATATCATCTACGAATGATGGCTATTCTAGTCACCATTCGGACGAGTTTCAAGTTAATAGTACCTGCTGTTCGAGATGCGTTATTGCGTTATTTTAGATAGGGCAGGCGTTTCTAATCGAAATAGCCGAGCCCAAGCCATCAGGCCCTATATCCCGGCAGTTGCTGGGGTATTTCGCCACCCACCGTTTGCTGGGGGGGGGGGCGTTAAACGCCCCCAGCCGATAACTCGAGAACCAATAGACGCAGCGAAACGCACGAGGCGGCAAACGAAAGAACGCGACGAGACGCTTCAGATGAGTACTTTTAAGTTGAATTTTGGGGTCACAGGTCAGGTCAAGGTCAGGTCAAACACCTGAAATCGGGCTTTCAGTGGCATGGACTTCAGGACTTCGCAATGGGCGGCTCTCGTCATAAACTGTCAAAACGGTGCACAATCCATCATATACAGGGTGGGATGGACAAATTGAGACAAGTTTCTACGCGGTTGTACGCCTCGGCTATAACCGCAATCTGATTGGTCGCATCGCTGGCACGGCCCTCAGATGCTATAAAAGCGAGGGTGACCAAAGGTCAGGGGGTCCACCTATCCGTGCTTCTATCCTCAGGATACTGAAATCCTTCTCCTCCACGCCACAACCCCCCTCCGGTCTGGACAGGCAACTTTATCTCATGCGGGCTGCTCCCTTGGAGCAGCACCGCTGCTCCCGAAGGAGCGCACCCCGTAGCCGGGTGCAGTGAGTGCCTTGGGGCTGGGTGGCCTGTCCTCTGGACGGGCTCAGCCCCGGCGACTCACTAGGGTGCCTGCCCAGACCAATGTCTCCCCCTAATTCCTATCATCCTTCCGGCTCTGCAATGGTCTTGTCGACCGAAAGGGCCTAACCCAACAAAACAAACAAAAAAAAGGTCAGGTCAAATCATGTCTGGTCGCGGAGCCGAGTACGATCGCCGAGCTGCCGTGCTCCAGGCGCTGCGCGCAGGGAGGAGCCCGGCGGAGATCAGCGAGTTCCTGCGTGTCCGACGGAGCACGGTGTACCGCATTGCCAAGCGTGTGCGGGCACAGGAGGGCGGTGGAGATGGCGAGGATGAAGGAGAGGTGACTCCCGAGCGTAAAAAGCGTAAATCAGGGCCTGGGAAGAAGGGAAAAAGAGAACGCCGGCGTTCCTGCAGCAACTCCAGGCTCTGATCGAGGAGGACCCGAACAGAACAGACCCGAACTTCTTCGAACAGAACGAAAAGGTGAACACAGACGTCTACCTACGGGTTCTGGAGACTGTCGTGCTGCCCTGGATCAAGGAAGTCACGAGAGGAGCTGGATATGTCTTCCAGCAAGACTCAGCACCCGCACACGCAGCAAAGAAGACGCAGGAGTGGTGCCGGCAGAACATGCACCTGACGTGGACCAAGGAGTTCTGGCCCCCCAACTCTCCGGACCTCAACCCCCTGGACTACTTTGTCTGGGGCGAAGTTGAGAGGGTCTCCAACAAGAACCCCCACCCCTCCAGGGAGACTCTGAAGCGGACCATCGAGGAGACGGTGGCGGCCATGGACCGAGCTGTCGTGAAGCGCGCGTGCGGCAGGTTCAGGAGCCGGCTGGAGAGGATGGTGGCGGCAGAGGGAGGGTTTATCGAGTGAGAATGCTCTATAACGATGCCAGTGTCACGAAATAAATATATTTCTGACTGATTGTTTTTTGGTTAACCGGCAAACTGCATTTGAATTGATAAACACAATGTGTCTCAATTTGTCCATCCCACCCTGTAAGGCCTACAAGAGTGTCAGCTCCATGTAGGGGTCAGTCAAGCATAGGTCAGGGTCAAGGTCAGGTCAACCGGGTAGGCACATATCCCCGAAAATCAAAACTGACATTCGCAGCCTGTGACACATGTTTTATGGGTAATTTGGGGCGTAGAACACGATGGTGACATTCATTTTGTCATATGTGTACGTGTTTGGCTCAAAAAGTTCAATTTAAGAAATGCATGTATCATGGTTACGAAGTAGTCACGAGAAATTGCCAAGATTCAGTTCAAGATTTTGGAAAATGCGAATCGATTATAATCAATAATCGAAGATAGCCATTTGATTGTTCATGGTATTGGCAGTCTAATGGCGTTTACGGCATGTCTGTATGTCTATTCTGTGATTTTATATGATTTTTTGAACATATGCCGTTTTTGGTCGAAAACTCAGAAATCATGACGTCATTAAAACCTCGATATCTCAAATATTTTCCGACCGATTTTTTTGAAACTTTCTCACAATACACTTCAATCAATTCCCTACAGGTACCCAAAAGTTGGCGCGCCTGCGGCGCGCCGTTTTTATGCTATGGCCCGGCGAAAAAAGTGGGGGCGTTTAACGCCCCCCCCCCCCAGCAACTCGCGGGATATGACAGTTGGCTTTGAGAAGAGTCGTCAACATCATTGTGGCAACACTGTGTAAAGAGAGAGTGAAAGCTCACTTCAGTATGCCCAGTCCCTCACCAAAAGTCGTCAGGGGAACAGAAGGAGAAGGCATATGGACACTTTTATCGAACTTAAATGATTCTTGTTTGATAGCTATAGGAACAAGCCCGAAGCCAGGTAAAAAAGACATTCCCGCTTTCTACGAGAATGTCTAGCTGTTGCTACACTCCATCCGTTTAATCATGGTTCCCAAACTCAAACACGTTCCGCAGCTTCAAACTTAATCGGTTGCGATCTTGCTTCAAAGTTTCCGAGTTTGCATTGGACAGGTAAAATACCTATCGCATACTTTAAGTAATGGCATGCAAGATTATCAAGTTGGTTACGTAAGCGCAATGTAACCGTGTTTCGCCTATTTTGACTATAAATGAGAAAGGATTGAGAACCAAAATAGGAAAATAAGCCTTTACACTAGTTAGAATCTAATTACCTGATTTCTTCTCACAGTAAACACCAAGTATCTGAGGAGACATATCAGTCCGTAACGGCACCCCAACCACGTTTCGCCATGAAGAAATAGTATGCAGTGCTCTAGCGAGGAACATCTTGATATATGTAGTTAGGATTGATTTTAAATGACCGTTTCCTCGATAATTAATTGGAAATTCAATAAAAAGTAAATATTATATTGTTTGGCAAATTTTCGAACAACAGGTTGTCAATTGTTTCATGTGGCTTGAGAATGAACTGTTGTTCGAAAATTTGCCAAACAATATAATAGTTACTTTTTATTGAATTTCCAATTAATTATCGAGGAAACGGTCACTTAAAATCCTAACTACACGTTTCGCCATAATTCAATGTTCGAAAACTTGGAGACCTCGGACGAGACATGGACCAACTAGGCAAAGACAAAGACCACGTTCGTACCTAGATGTAAGCGAAGTCGGCACCGAGAGTCAGTCACGTTGAGCTTGGAGACGGAGCCACAGGAAGCTGTGCGGAACGCGTTCTGCGCGGTGACCGAAGACGGTCGAGCTGGGATGGCTGATCGGGAGTCGCAGCTCCCCAAACTGTGGATGCCGAGCAGTTCTGTATCCCAATCTGAAAGCAAGAGACAGAACAAGACGGCAAGTCAGTACAGACCTATCAGAGAGCCAGCAGTAACGGTGTGATGCGGTGACAGAATGATTCTTGAGGAAATATATGAATCTCATTTCTCAACCTCAGTAGACGGGCACGCATGTGTTAAAAATAAATAAGAAACATACAATATTAAAGTTATGGAATATTACTTCTTATCAAATTATCGTTTACAAACAAATTAATAAGAGGACCAAATGCCCGGCCCAGACCTTCTAAACATATTTTACACAAACTGATAACGTTTCGGCGGTTACGAACGGGTCGACATCGGGTGGACTTCGAACAGACATAGGATAGACTTTGGACAGACACTGGACGGACAAACATGCTGTATCTGGCAGCATCAGCAGTGGACCTCAAGCTAACCAGACCAGCGGCGAGGACCTCCAGCTCGTTGGCGCTGTCGCACCTGGCGCCGCCCCTGACCCGGTACAGTCTCTCTCGCGGCGCGCGGCCTCTGACGTCACCGGCCGGCGCCGGCGGGGCAGGTGTGAGCCCGCCGCCGCGCCGCCGCCGCCGCCGCCGCCGCCGCCATTGCCAATCCGCGCGGCGGTCAGTGCACCGCCCGCCCTCCCCCGCCCCCGCCCCCGCCCCGGATCAGCCCGCTGTGCCCGGTTACACAAGAGGCGGCGGCGGCGGCGCGCCGGTGGAATCGTGACCGGTCGGCACCTGTGCCCGGCGCCGGAGCTCACAGCGAGCACTGCACAGTGCACAGTGACAGCGGCGCCCGCTCAGTGGGAGCAGTGTCCCTGCATAGCTCGCTCAGTGCACAGCGCACACTGAACAGTGCACAGTGGCGGCCGGAACACTGAACCGCCACTGGGATGGCTGGGATTGAAGGACACTATGGGAGTGGGTACAATAAAGGATTTCACGTGCACACAGCACAGACGCGCTCTCAAGTCTCAGAGACAGCGAAGATTATCCGTAATCAGCAATGCATAAGCTAAGCATTATTGCCGCCACCGATCACCACTGTTACATCTCGCTAGTCTATTTGTATCAACCCCACTCCTAGACCATTGCCTCTCGGCCAAACCGCCATTTACTGGGGTCGTTGAGCCCTCTCTGACCGGCCCTCACCACTCCCTCACCACCCCGCTCGGCGGACAGAGAACCCACGGCGGCACGCGGCGCCGAGTAGGAGGCGCGGCCGGTCAGTTTTTGTTGCACTACGTCAGCCATTCAGAGGATCCCATCCCGGGCCCCGGCGTAAAAACCGGCCCGCAGCGGCGCCGCCAGGCGGCCGACGGGTGGCGTGAGCTCGAATTGTCGGCTTTGGGCTTCAGCAATCAGCTCTATATTGTTCATAGATCCCTGAGATGCTTGTTTGATTGGACTTGCATCATAGGTACTCCAGTCCCCAACAGGATGGCTGGAACATGCAAAACGAGCTTATCTGGTATGCTAATTGACAACACATACGGACGCGCAAATTAACTAGGTAATTTGTTCGCCGCAATCTTTCCACACGTGATGTAAATGAGCCTCAAACAGGACAAATGGCGAGCAGGTGTCACTTTAAGGAGAGTCGGCACACAGCGTTGCCACTCGCTGACCGTTCGCGTGGTACGACTGGGAACGATGTCCAAGAACTGCATTCCGTGACCGCTTCAGTGAACTCCAAGTGTTCGCAAAAGTAGCAGCATCGCCGGGGCACCGGGAACAAATTGAGTCCGAGAAGTAAAGCGATAGGCACGCCAGCTTTTCTGGCGAATGATATGATCGGGATAGTGTTAATATTCTGGAAATGTGGCCCAAATGTAAGGTTGATGCCCCATGTGATATTTGTATTTCCTAGCCGCACTGAGCGCACTCGGTAGCAGTTATCAGAGCTTGCATCGTGTTGAAACGCTGGACATCAGATCAACACAAGGTCCCAGTGAGTAGTGACGCATCAAACCCGAGGCTTCTCTCAGTCCGGTCATTTTTGCAGACGGTAGAAACCCGTACAATCCCTGGGACTTCAACTAGAATCACGATATGAGAATCGCGAGCCCGGCAACACTTTCGGGTCAACAAGGGCTCAAATTTTCATCATATTGGGCCATGACCAGAAGTGGTCTGAATCAAAATTACTCTCATTATCACGGATGCGACTGAGCACAAACCGATGCTTATAAAGACACAGGCATGCAACACAACATACTGATGCAGATACTCAGTCTCAGACATAAACATATTGATGATAGACTCAGAAAGCGGTAAAACATGGTAAAGAATAGGGTAAACCTAAACACACTTCTGCCGGATAATGCCGGATAAAGCCGGTCCAAACTCTGAGCAGCAAAAACAGTGAGACAAAGTTCTAAGTTCTAACGGAGGTAATTTACGAGTTTTTCTCCCCAAATTTGACTCTCAAGAGCTCATTTCATGACTAGCTAGCCTGGCCATCAAGAAAAGCATGAAACCATCGCCCACCTCTGACCCAGCGCTAACCATTTGACCAACTGCCCGTCCCTGACCAATCTGGTGGCACACAATAAATTAACCGATCTCGAGCAGTAGCGCACACAATCAATTCTGCCGACTGCACTTCAGCCTGTAGGATCGATTCGGCCCACGGCGCGCGGCCGGCGCCGGCGGTTCGGCGTCCTTGACCTCAGCAGAACTGGGTCGGCACTCGATCCCGAGCCAGGAAAACTGCAGCACTCAGACGCCCGACTAGCGCTACCACCGGCAACGCCGGAGCCGTGGCTATTCGTGACTGATGCAGAGTCACGAAACATCAGACGCCACGACGAGGTAGACGTGAGAAAGACGTGAGACGTGACGTGAGGGAAAGCTGACGTTAGACGTGGCAGGAGGGACGTGACAGACGTGAAACGTGACGACAGAGAGACGTCAGACGTGAGACGTTAGACGTGGTGTGGCTACAAGTATGATTCGAGGGAGCAGTGGTGTCGCCGCTGGTTCGTGTCAACTGTCAATAGACACCGTCGTCAGACGGTCAGCACTCCGACGGGAATCATAAGATCCCGAGACCTTCGTGGGGAAACTGCAGCAAGGTGAACGGGGAGACCCATTCGTTAGGAATGAATGTCACGGTAGGAAAAGCTTGGTCACAGTTGGCCCTCACTTCTACACAAGCATAACGCAATGTCGAATTATAGTTGCGTGCCGAAACAGCTTACAACTTCAGGACCGTTTAACCTGGGAGAACAGAAAATAAAAAAGCACAGCTTCTTTCAACAGTGAATTTAAAAGGTGCCATCAACGCCGATATATCGAGACACAAAACAGCTTGTTAGCCAGCGTTCAATCAGGGCTATCAGTTCACGCACAAACATCAATCTGCAAGCACGAATAGCCCACAAGAAGCCATCCCGGCGCCTGGAGCGCTCAGCGTCACCATTCTAAAACTTAGTTTCGAGATTCCACCGCCGCGCGGCGCTGCGTTCGACCCGATGCTCTCGGCGAAAGTGCTGGCCTTTGGCGGAGGTCGTCGGACCCTGTGCTTCGGCGCTGAACCGCGTGACACGGAGCTGGCGGTCCACAGCGACCTCCAGTTCTACGGGCGACGAGCCGGCCATTCAGCGACCCGTAGGGCTTTAAACGACCCCGCAGGGTGCTATTCGTGAAGTGACGATCCCTCTAAACTTCGGCCATGCTGGAACAGTCATTGACGAGCTACGACATTTAGGTTTTATGTTGTCGGCTGACAGCCGGCTAGTTGTTGAGATTATGTTGTTGATAAATCAGCTCAGTGTGTCATCTAGATACGGAGTGCACGTATTTCGGAGTGAAGTAATTGCGCTACAGTGAGCGACTCTTGTGTTCAGCGCTCTGGAAAGATAACAGCGACCACATAGTCACTGCGCAACAACAACGATGTAAATCACCGACCCGATTTGTCACCATTTACCACTTTCCTTTTCCCGCGGCCTGGGAACTTTTCAACCATAGCCGATGTCTTCCCTGGGCGTCCAGTGTATAGTCGCTGGTATACCGGGCCGGGCGGGCGGTGGGTAAAATCGTCTCTCTACCTCTCTCCGGAGTCGCCGGCGAGTCTTGCTCTCTGCTCTCCTCTCTGTCGCCGGTTTGGAGCCAGTTCGGTGCGGCTGTGCCGAGCGAGACTCTCGCTCGACGAGCCACCATTCCGACCGTCACATTCCTCCATATTTTCACCTCGGGCGTCGCCAGCTGGTCCACTGAGCGAGATGTTACCACACCCGGCGGCGGGTTATATGGCCAAACGGGCGAGATATCATCCCGCGGAGACCGCAGGAAACAATCCAGGAAAATCCAGCCACCAGAACTTGCACCTCAGAAACACGATTGCCGACACCAACTCTGATAACCGAGGGCATGAAATGTACTGCGGTTAGGTATTGAGAAACGCTCGGCTTTACAGGAAAGTCGAACAGGCCGAAATAACGTGTTTGAACTCTGAGAAACACCCCTCTAGCCTAGCACGTCCGCAGCACCCCAAACTACCGGGAAGAGCTACCAAAAAGGGGTATTTAGATGAGCTCACACGAGCTCACTCGCGACTCGCTTTTCCCTTCCACCTGGCTTCGGTCATTGACCCGACGAAACCACAACGCTTCATTTCTGTGGAAAGGTTCGGTGAAGTGCCCGCCAATTCCTCACCACAGGAAATCACCCGAACACTACAGGCAGCTCCTAAATCCCATCCCCCACGACTCCCTATCAGGATAAACCCTCCGACGCCGGCGCCTGGTTATCGAACAGCCGTTCATGTAACTTCTCACCCTCCCGAACAGCCTCCACATCGAACCGAACCGGAGCTCTCGCCGAGCCCACCGGGTTCAGCCCGCCAGTACGGGCTCACTGGCGACTGTGTTGTGCCTCCCAAACACAATGGAGAACGAACCCCCTAGCCGGCGGCTCCGACGACTTAACGGCGCGAGTCGTGTGTCGCGTCGGCCGGCGGGCCGCGGGGCCGTCCAACAATCGATTGAACCGCGCCGTCACCTGAGCTGGAGCATTGGGAGCCGGAGCCCCCCCCCCCCCCTCGGAGAGGGGGGGGCAGGGTACGCCGCATGGTAACAGGAGGTTGTTGTTGTTTAGGTCAAGAGTTACACCGTCCCGGGATCAGAGTGCACCTGTGTCTCAGCTGGTGGTTGACGGTCATTGGGGAAGTTGGAAGACGGGCATCCCACATTACATGAATGTGGTGAGTGATGGCAGACAAAAAGCAAGGCCCGATCCCGTCGAGATATTATTGGATACCGTTCAGTCAAACTAACTAACTAGTTTGTCCTGTGCAAATTATCGCAACATCCACGTAAAAAAAAAAACATGCTAAGGCTTACGATTGCCCCCGGATTAACACAAAATAGTTTCAAGGAAAATGTCATTTTCATGCATTGCATGTCAAATTACATAATCGAATTACGTAAGAGGCTTGGTGAACAATGTGTCATCGACGCTGAATTTAAAGCTCCGCCGCATTTCAATCCAGCTTAAAGAGGGAACCCTTTATGGCGCATAACGACAATGAACGTAATTAACAGGATTGAATATCCCAGAATATTAACGCACAAAGCTCCTCCCTAACTCTACCCACAAGCGACCAATGTCCGACCGCATATAGACGGTAGACCCCAACGTTTCACTACCTGGCACACTCCTTCACTCCTTCAGACCCTCAACACCTGAGGACTCCGGGGATGATCGTCCCCTCCCCAGCTCGTCTAGTGACACCTAGTCTCATCTGGTGCCGCGTTATATCCACCGTGTCACCTCAGCCCTACCACCACCGCCGCGTCCATCGTCGCGGGCCGCCGGCTCGTCGAGCGCGGTTACTGGGCCGCTGACCGGCGAGGGCCACTGGAGTTGCGTCACAGGAGTACCAGCCGTGGGCTGTGGCGTGGCGGCACGGCTCCACGGCTGGGAGCTGTGGGGTGACGGTCGGTCGTCCCGGCGGGGCGAACCCAGTACGGACGGCCGACTGCACCGCATCGTGCCCCGCCGTGGTGTGGTACGCGGCGGTACTGGGTGCCTCAGGGCGATTTAGGGTACCTCAGAGGCACATGGCACCTCACCGTGGCAAACGGTACATTGAAGCGGCACACGGTACCTCAAAGCGCCACGGCACCCCGCGCTGTCTCACAGAGCAGCAAGGCGTATACATGTTACTACTGCGCCACTGCGGTGCTCCTCATCTCCTACCGAGGAGTCCCGGTGTGTCGTGCCCGAAAAAGTCCCTCCTCAGTCCATCTCCCACGCACGTGACATTAGACCACCCATTCCTGGCCGTTCGCCGTGGTCATCAATTGGTCCACAAATAGGTCACTGTGACCCGTGGCCTATCATCGACTGCATGCATTGTTTATTTCCTGCACCGACATAAGCACTGACGCCTATGCCAACTGAAATGATCCTCGTGACGACATAAATGGAGTCGCATGAAACTAATCAAAACCTTGTAACTTTGCAGTGATATTCCAGTGACAGTTCCCCGAAATAGCGAACACTTGTCCGTTCAGCGGTATCAATATGATATACCAGTAAAACGCCTTTTGGGCGAAGAACGAGCGAGCGAGATAGTGAGCCCTGCACGTGCAGAAGGGCGAGAGGGTACTTCCAACGGGCTTGTGCAAAGCACCCTTCTAACCGGTCGCTAGCGGTGTACCAAATTTGAACGCAATCGGCCCAGCCGTTCCTGAGATCTGGAAGCGGCATTCTGCACGTGCGCACGTGCAAACGGGGTCCAAAATGACTTTTGCACGGCACCCTACTAACCGGTCCCGAACCGTGTACCAAATTTGAGCGGAATCGGCCCAGCCGTTCTCGAGATCTGGAAACGCCCCCTGCACGTGCGCACGTGCAGTAGCACCCTAACCGCAACACATGGAAATGCATTGCCTGGTGGGTGCCTACCTGTATGCCAAGTTTCAGCGAAATCGCCCCAGTAATTACCGAGTTACTGAAATGGGAACAAATTTGGCACCTCTTATTGTTGTATTTTGCACGTGCAGTGGGGGTCACTCACATAGATGAAGAGTATCCGACCTTTGGTAGAAGGGATGCAGCTACCCTATAAAAATAACCGCAAGACAATCGCTCAAGCCGCTGCTGAGATAATATGGGCCTCTCAAAATCATTACTTTTGCAAAACTGCTTGAACACCCTTGACTTTTCACGTGGCACGTGCCACGGCGGTCACTGAGATGTATCAAAAGTAGTCAATTACGGGGTAGAAGGGATGGGGCTACCCAGCAAAAAAGACCGCAGGCCATTCGGTCCAGCGGTTGCTGAGATATAAGCCTCTCAAAAGCGTTACAGGCCGGGCCGGGCCGGGCCGGGCCGGGCCGCTAATACTGAGATTTTTCCGTTATATTGAAAAGACTTCGCTTCGCTCGCTGCGCTCGCTCGCTCGTAACGACAGGACATTATCACACTGATACCTACTCGTATATCGGCTCTGTGCAGAGGCTTCATATGGGCCATTTCAGTGATTGTTCAAGGGAGTTCCCCGGCAAACAGAGTGATGATCGCAATTGTCTTCACGAGCGCTGTCGACCCATGAGGATCAGCGAGCTCCGTGTCTGTTGTGTGTTGACTGTTGGGCCCTGTTAGCAGTGGCACTGACGATGGCCCGATATTTACTCTTCCCAAATGGGTGGGGCAAAGTGGACAGGAATTACAACTATGCAATGAAACTTTGTTACCATAACTACCCCTTCAATGGGGGCGTTGACGATCGCTATTCGCTTACCAATCGTGGACAAAGACTCAACTGAAATTTCGGTACTCTGGCTGTTTCTCCAAATGTGACCTCGTGACATTCACATCGGGTGCATTTTCGAGACAGATCACGATACTGACCTTTGGCATAAAACGTCTGAACTTCTCACAGCAACGCCCGGCAAGTTTCATTATTTCACATTGTCGTCAGTGTTCTCAGAAATCTCCAGGGAAGATCTAACCTCCCCAGTGCCCACACAGAAATATCTATAAATTTTCTTCTGTCGGTCGAGTATGGGCCTCCTAAGAACTGGGAGAATAGATAAAAAGGTAGCTCATTTTCCTGAATATCTACAAATAAAACTTCAACGCGGCATATGACGGTCCATAAAAGGTTTCGCGTAGCATTGGAGCGCTGACCATACCCTATAAACCAATAAACATGTCAACAAACTCGCATTAGCCATGTGATAACTTTCGCTGCGGATTACACGACTCACGAGCAACATCTCGCAAATCCCACAAATATGTGGCAGAGTTTTTGCGGCTACTGAATCCACAGGCTGTTAGGAATAATATGCCAGTAATATGTTGCGTGCAAGATGGACATAATCGACATAACCACCATGTAAGCACCCATGCTCGTTTTTGGAACACATACACCGAGAGACGGTGAGGCTGTTTGCACTGCATTCAGTTCAGCCATGTCGGCATTCCAGAGAGTTCCCCAGGCCAACCGACCAACCGACGCTGCTGGAGTCGACACCAGTTGCAGTCCCGTGAAAACTTGGAATCTAGTCGAATCACTACATATTTTCCTCATGGATGCATCCAACCGAATAGGAATCACCACATTAGTTTAATGAGCATCATTGACCGATGTGCATGACATCAATACACATTAGTTCCATGTCCATCATTGATCAACAATAAACACCAAGCAAGCTTCCCCGCCAGCACATCAACACTCCCCGACAAGCACAATCAGCTGCGGTGGTCACCCACCGGCCCAGTCAGCTGGTGTATGTTATCTGACGGCCCCAGGGGCTGAATCAGCTCCGCCCAGAGCTGGGCAAGCTCACCTACCTGCCAGCGCCGGTCGGTCGGTCGGGCGGTCGGGGCGGGCGGTCGGCGGTGGCGCAGTCACTATCGCTCTCAAACACCTTTCACCAGCGCCGTGTGCCGGCCGGCCGGGGTCACTGACCGCTCCGTGCTGCCACGCCGGACGGCTGCACGGTGCTTCGTTGGTGGAGTGTACCGAGTACGACGGTACAGCGGTGGAGAGCTGGTACGGCACACGGAGACACGGCACTGGTCAGTGACGCGACACACGAACTGCGACACTATACGACACCGCGACACGACACGGTAAATATTGTCACTGAACGGCGGGGCGCAGTCCGGCGAGACTCCAATCACGGGGAGTCAGTCGCACCCACTGCGCTCAACACACCACTGTATGTACCGACAGAGCACGGCCAGCAGGCGGGCCGCCGCACTGAGGGGCCAGCACAGGCCGACTGGCACTGGGCGCTGCCGGCGGGGGCGGGGGCGGGGGCGGGGCGCACCACACCGCTCGGCGCTCGCCGGCGCACTGCGCCGCTCGCGGGCCGCCGGCCGCCGACTGACCTAGATCGGCCGTCCGAGCGGCGCGCGGGCGAGAGCGGCGCGGGTCAGCGACCTCGCTCGCCTGCAGCCCCCCGCCCGGCCCCCGCCCACAGCCCCCCCCCCCCCCCGGCACCGCCGCCACAGGCGGGCGCCGTCACGGCTCGGCCACGACGAAGATTAGTGTTGTAATCGGAACTCCTCATGAGTTCATGATGGTGACACGCGATGGGCTAAATTTGGAGGGAGATGGCGATTTGCCGGGGGGACGGCGGAGCACATCGGATGCGCATCAATGCTTTGTCGTGGTTGATTAGATAATGGCACGACAATGGACCTTTGGAGCCCTGTCATTACTCATTGCCCATTGGCCATTTTACGACATTTCGCGGACTGAAATAACTGGAGGATTGTGATCGGCGGCATTCGTAAAAGTGCACTGCGGATACGTTCAATCCTCACAAGAAATATGCATCAAGTAACAAACTCGGAAAACTCACTGAGGTATACATTTTCCATTTGATGGTTCGTGACAAGCTTGAAAATACTTAACGTCGTTGCTTACCGAATAAGCAGAGAAATTCGATCGTTTTCGTCCATCCCGCAGAATTTCGTTACTGAATTATGCAATTGGAGCCGTTCAAGTTTTCAACGGCAATGATTTCAGAAGTTTCATGGCTTCGCCGGTGTTTTAACTAAAGTGTTTTATCTAGCACCTCGGTTGACGGAAGCTGTGACCAGCCAAAGGAAAGAGAAATATACGGTTGGCAGTTTACCAGATATTCCGCTTTACAATCACTTTATCGTCGGCTGCCTTTTCATTACTACAAGTCCCATTGAGCCAGACCATATAGCCTTGCCCTAACCTCAACGCCTGAATTGGCATCCAACATTAAAACAATTTACAGCAGGCATAATGTGCGCCCGGCTAACATTAAAAACAGCTCTACAGACAACAGCTCTTGCCTCTTCTCGGTATCCAGTAAGGACCAGCGCAACTGAATGACTGCACAGTGCACACACTTTATCTCTGCCCGGCGAGCTGAATTCGCTGGTCCGCTGAGTGATTAGAAGAGTCAGACATTTCGTTATTCTCACAGACAATGACAATACATTGTTTGTCATTGTCTGTGATTACATTGTTTTTGTATTACATTCCGCTGAGTGAATTGGCTTCCTGTCTCAGCGGTATAAGCTCAGTACCTATTCCTCCCCTCCCCTCCCCCCCCCCCCCCCACATTGCATTGCATCTATAAATCTCATGACCCCGAAATGGTTTCAATAGACCGAAACGGCATAACCTAACAAAACAAAAACAAGTTAACATTTCGAGGAAACGGAGGGAAAACGGAAAAATAGCATGCATGGAACTGACGAGGCATACCTTATGGTTGACGACACGCTCGGGAAAGTCGGTGTGGCCACTTACCCTGGGTGTGGCCGAGTATGGTGTGGCCACCGGGTCGGGGGGTGTCCGTTTCATTCCGTCTGTCTCCGCCACGTAGCCGATCTCCTGTGGCAGTAGGTGGGTATTTGGAGGATCACAAACGTGGCGGGGAACTGGAGAGGGGAGCAGAGTAGGGTGGGGACTGGGGGGTGCCGTTCGGTCACAAGAGTCCATTGGGGATTTCGATGACAAGACAAGAGTCCATTGGGGACTGTCATTAGGTGCTGGCCGAAACGTCCGTTTGACTGACGTCTGATGCATCCCGAATCCGATACGTCGGAGCCTGCGAAAGATAAAACGTGCACGATAGTCGATAATTGTGACTTGTGAGCAAGGCTATATTAACCAGGTAGAACGCTCCGGGAAAAAAGTTGGAAACAATAAATTAGTTGCGGCATTCCCTGATGACGCGAATGTGGGTCAGCGGCCGGCGGCCGGCGGCCGCTAACAATGTATGAGGATGAATGCACGGAACTTTTGCTTGTTGGAGATTGCGCTAGGCAGTTAAATGTTAATGTTAGGATATGTTTCGAAAGTAAATTGAACGACGCTTCGAACGCCGTCAATGAATTTGCGATACGACGACTATTTGTTTAGTTAGAGCCGGCGAACTTTTACCTTCCGACCGCGCGGGAAGGCGATATGGTGCCACACTGACGGTTTTACGACAGCTCAGAATTCTTTTGAGCTAAAGAGCTGAAATTTGACATGTCCAATCTTTTGATCAAGCTGGATCTTCTGGTACAAGTCGCATATTTAAGGTACATCAGGTTGTTGACCTATACTGTCGCTCGTGAGCCTCTACACAGTCCAAAAACAACGCAATTTCTGAACACTCAGTGCCAAGAAATCCTTCACAGAAAGATGACACTTGGCAGAAAGAAGAGCTGTCGGTTTCTTACCGTTCGTATGTGTTGTGTTTTCACAAGACTTTAGTAACGCCAGGCCCCTCACGTGACCTCCCCTCATAACTCAATAGGACTAGGTTTACTATCATAGAATGAGAAGCGTTTATCAATCGCCGGAAATCTTAGCCGATCCCACTGGACACTGGATCCATACCCACCTGCATGTGGGTATGGAGGCCGGAGGGCCAGGAGGGCCCTCCTGACTGGCCACTCCCTCTGAAATCCACAATAACAGCGGGCTGCGGCCACGGTTATGTATTAATGCTTTTCACTAACAGAAATACAACAACTTCAACCAGCACAGTGCACGCCGCCACAACAGTCCGACCCACGTCCCTGATATCGACTAGCACCCGGCCGGATGCACATACGCGGAGCCAATCAGTCCGAATGTGACCTGCATCTTACAATTGCTGTGTCGCATAGCGCATGGCACAGGACGATTCCTAGCAGCTGTCGGCTGGTGCTGTTTCGGAGTGGAGAAACAGCACGTTGCGACACACCGCGCCGGCGACAGAGCTCAGCACTCAGCAGGGCTGGTTGGAGGCTGGAGCCGGAGGTAAGGGCGGACACAGGCACAGACATTGCAGGACAAATAACAGGATGTCAGTTAGGGATATAATTCAAGACGAATGATTCAAGACGGACTGAAATAATGCAAATTTTGCTCACTTGGATACCAACTTCAAACTTGACGTTTATAACACTACGGAAAGAATGGGCGCACAGGAAAGAAACAAAAGATCACGTGTTTCTAACAACTCAAGGAAGTAAATAGAAGTTGCATATGATGGAACAGCCCAAAGTGCAGACAAGCACATATTTTTGGTAATAGCTATCAGCTGTCCTACTCCTCTCCTCCCTTCATCAACTACTGGACACATCTGAAGCATCATATATAGGTAGCACCAATGTCCATAACAAAAGCTTGCAAGTAGTTTTATGAAGCCAGGGGAAACATGCATCATGCATGTAAACTCAAAATTACACATGCATGACAAAGGAATCGTATGTAAAGAGAAGAGTTGGCAAAAGCATTTCATAGTTAAAATTATTCAAAACTGCACACAGGGCAAACATAAAAAGCAGCAAGTGTGCTGTTCTGTTATGCTAAGAAATAGTCCAAAACAAAATATATCTTTTCATGTTTGAACTGGTTGTTCTTCTATTCCACTTCATCCATATCTTGATTACAGATGGGCTGTTGCTGTAGGCTGATGAAGTGACACTTGATTGCCTTTGTGTGAGTTTCAGTTGCAGCCTCCTAGGTACTGCACCGGAAAGCAGATTGAATTGAATGCCTCTGAAAGATAGGAATATAGGCAACGTTAGCTGTAGTAGTGTCAATGATAATAGACATGACATTTTTGTCCTTTCACATACATTTGTTGAAGTACAAAAAGGTACAAAATAAATTGGTTTGTTTCAAGACACGCACACTGCACAAAGCCGCACAGACATTACACAGGCATATGAAATTGGTACACATATAACTTGATGATTAAAAAGGTCAAAACTAGCAATAATAATTAAAGTAAAAGTTACAATCACAATCATTAAATGACTTGACATAAGTCACCAGACGCAACGTTCCTATTCACTTAAGAAAAGTTTTTATTATATCCTCCACATATCAATCAGCTTGATACCAGGCTGTGCAATAGTGGGTACATAACCCCATGTTGCCATTTTATTAAAGCAAATGGGGTTACATACAACAACAATGCTAATGTCAAACCCACATCTGCAACCCGTACTGCAGTTTCAATCACCTTACAAGCACACCTTCTGGCAGTTTGAGAGGCAGAATGGTCATTACTTCTTTCTCCTCATATTCAACACATATTCCCTTTATACAGACACAGTTTAGACCTGGTTATGGCAAGCATTTTCGAGAAAAGATATGATAAAAGTCCAAGACAAAGGTCGAGAGAAACAACACCAACATAAAACACCGACTATGTAGCACTAATACTGTCAAATTCATAAAAATATATACATAACTCGATCAGAAATTCACTGTAGATTTCGAAAATGGTGTCAAATGCCACTCAAATACCCCCATTCGCATGTACGAAGCAATAAAACACTCACCTTCAATTCCGCGTGCCATTCTCCATAGGCCACTGTGTATTAAATAACGCGTTCACTGATCGCCAAAAATGAGACCCACATATGACGCGTTTGCTACCAGCCAATCAGCGCTCGAGATGCCGAACGCTGATTGGTGGAGAGGGCCGTCGTTAGCAGTCCATTACACGTTGTTTTTCTTGAACATGTGCGTGAGCGCTGATGCTGCTCACGGGTTGTTTCCATTTTTCGTAATGCTGAAGGCACGGGAGCGAACCCCCCTGCTTGTGAGTAGGTACGTTTGGGCAAGGCCCTATATACCAGGTAGGGTCGTCCGGCGATTCTACCTGATCGTGACGTCAGCTTGTGACGTCATCTGGGGGCAAGTCTTGAAGCCCCGTTTGAGTCCCATGTAAATGGGCGATTTTTGAAGCGCTGTAGAACAAACTGTGTTGGAGCTAGCACAAAACTAAGTGCATCATCGGAAAGACGAGACATTTTTCTTTGAATTATCTAAGAGCAGTTTTTCACTAAACCCATTAGTTTTTCCGAAAATGCGTACAAAAGCCCCCATGCCTCCGCAGCCTCCCTTCCGCCGGCCGCTGCGCCGCCGCGGTAGTGTAGTGGTTAGGATGCTTGCACCGTGATCCAAAGGTCGCGCGCTCGAATCTAGGCGCGGGTCGGACTCAAGTCGAAATTGCAAGCAGAATATGTGTTTTTTCTTTAAAAATCACTTATATTACAGCTAACCGTTCATTAAACTATCGATAACAATTGACTGAAAGCCAAAATATAGATTACATTCTTATAAAACAAATTCAAATATGGCGGCCGTTGCGCTAGGCTCCGCCCCCGACTCCGCCCCTTCGTGTGACGTCATCTGTGCACTTGGACACACAGGGAGATAGGGGACGACATGGGCCTGCGTTTGGGTTTCAGTCATGGTTTCGTGCCTTGGTTCGCAAAGCTTCCGTTTAGTGATTAAAATAACTGATGGCTGATCGTTTGCAAAGCTGAAACAAGGCATACCTATAAAAACACCGGCTGAAACTGAAACGGTAAATGCGAGAAACATTACAGCATCGACAGATTTGATTCAGAATGCGGATTGGAATACTGATGTACGCAAGCACAAGGGAGATACAATAAATAAATATTTTCGTTAATCGCTGATACTGACACAGAGTTTCCCAAATCTAGATACTAGACGGATAAAAAGCCACATAACTCACATGCGGATAAAAAACAATAAACATACGGATTCGGCGAGAACGCACGTTACGGTTACACATGGCGCGAATGTTTCGAAGTTTTTCCTACATCGCTGAAATGGAGATCCTAGAAAAGTGTTAATTTTCTTATAAATAACCCTTAGTTGTCTTGATTTAGTTTAAATGAAATAAATCTTAACCTTTTTCCCGCTAAACATAAATGAAAACAATGAAGTAGGGAAAGGTATAAGCAATTATCTTCAAAATCAAACTCAAATTGAGTGGGTAGGAGGCAGGAGCATAGAGTTCAGTGGTAGGAGCAAAACTTATCTCCATATGGAAGGTGTTTGGCAAGCCATAAGTGGCGCAGCTGATTCAAATATGTCATGCTTTATAATGTTCAGTTAACACAGTTTGGCTTTTAATGAACACTAAATGGCGAGTTTTTGTGCTTGTGACCAATAGAATGGTCTAATCGCTACTTCTAGCTGCCTAAGCATAGCAAGAAGAACACGTTTTCCTTCCAAGGTGGTCCGCAATGCGTCCGCAATGGCGTTTTTCAGTGTGGTTTATTGTTTGGTTAACGTGGTTCAAGTGGAAAAATATTAATTTGTATCGGTAAAGTGGTAGGTAAACTCTATTTTTTAATTAAGTTCTTCATAAACCTTATTTTTATCAATATCCACTGTGTTAAATCCAGGGTAAGCTGTAGGTTGATCCTGCATCAGCATTGTGTTTCTATGTACTTTCTAGTCTTCATTGCATTTTAATCAGAATCACCACTTGTTACCTTGACCTGAGGGACTAAGCCCCAGCCTTATAAATATGATTTAAAGGGTGGCCACTATCATTTACATAATTGCTCCTCTCAAATGCTCCCCCTCCCGTATCTAAGTATCGCGCGCAACTAAACGTAAAATATTTGAAACTCCAGTTTGAGATGAATCAGTGAAAAATAGTCATCTCTATTTGTGTGAATAGGGATGTGTCAGTGTTGCTGTCCTGTGATGATCATTTGCATTTTGGGAAGTTCCCTGTTTTGTTTTCATCTGTAAAAAAAATATTTCTTTTTGCAGTGTTATTGGAGGTTTGTGCCCAATTATCTTGGTTAAATACAGCACCCAGCATTATGATTGAGGAGGC